CCCCAACTCGGCCCCCTACCAACCCCATCATACCCCAACCCCGTCCCCCCTTCAACCCCCCCTCCCAGTCCTCAATCCCCCTCGCTCCCCCACCCCCCGCTCCTCACCCCAGATTTCAATCCCGTCCCGCCCCCCCTGCCCCGGCACCCACCGTTCGCACAGCTGCTGTTCCCCCACAGCGGCTCCATGGGCTCGGATCCGGATCGCGGGCGGGTGTGTGTGTCCCGTCCCCCGGGGCCGACGCCGCTGCCTCCTCTGCCCCTCCTTTGCGAGGAGCGGCACCTCGAACCTCGCCCTGCTCCTGGCCGGGCTGGGTGTGCACCTGCTGCAGCCGGATACTCCACTGACTCAGGCTTCTCCTCCCCAGGGACCCAGCCCCTGCCTGACCTCAGGCCCAGGCCCCCAGCACTCAGGAGGGGGGAGGGCGTGAGTCTCTGCTTCATCCAGAAAAAGGGAAGGGATCAAACAAACGTCTAGGTCCAAATGCTCCAAGCGAGGGTGTGTACGTGTGTGTGTACGTGTGTGTGCCGCTCACACAGGTGGGTGGGTGTAAGCGATGCTCTGAAAACGCACCCAAGTCATCATGCAAACCCGACAGCGGTGGGTGCACCTCTGGTACTGAGTGTGCACAAAAAGCCACCGTGAGCGTGAGCACAATTCCCCCACGTGCCCGTGCAAACGCTGCTGGAAAAGGTGGCCTGGTATTTTTTGTAAGTTTCCTTTGCACTTTTGCTCAGGCTTGACTCTGGCTGGGAAGCATTCTGGGGGTATTTTGGCTATATGGGATGCCAGGTTAAAAAGAAGAGAGAGAAAAAGAATGTGTCCCAGCAAAACTAGGGATGGCTGAACAGCCTTTCTATCAGATTTGAAATTCCTGTGTTCCCCTCAATAGCTCGGCCCTTCACCTCTCTGAGATGGGCCCTGAAGAGATGCAAGGTCCAGGAGTACTTCAGGAGACAGGTTTCTCCTTGGGGCTTTGTTTTTCTCCTTGTGCTGCTTGGGGCTAACAGGGAGAACTTGCACTTACTGCCATTAAATAGGAGGGCCACATAGGTCGTTAGTTAGCACAGGGGATAGCTAGCCAGCATGGTTCAAGCCGAGTTCCAGCGGAGCATAGCTGAATATTGTCTGACCAAACTGGGCGTAATATTAAATCAACCCAATAAATGGCTTACACGGTAGCCTGCAGGACCTTGTATTTACAGAGAGAGTCGTGTACCATGGAGCAGAAATTAAAAGCAAACAAGAGGCTTTTTAACAGAACACTGGGCTAATAAAACATAGGCACATTTGTACTGCAGAGAATATCTACTCTTACAAAAAGAGATTCCGCATGCAGATATTAACCTATTAAAATAAATTGTTCAGAAGGGCTTGTGTTGTTTTAAATGTTGGTAGGAATAATTGTTATGTACTTAGTACTGTAGCCGGGCACTGCATTTTGCAGAAATAAAAGCACATCTTGGGGCTTTAGGAGCGGTTTGAAGGAAGAGAAGAAAGCCAGATGTGTTTGAATTCAACCACAAATTGGTGAATTTGATGCAGGGACCATTGGGTGAAATCTATTATCTGTGTTATGCAGCGCAGTGTGCAGACTAAATGAGCCCAATGCCTGCCCGCCCCAGCCTTGAAATCCATGAATCTTTGACACTCAACTAATGCTGATGAGAGGCTCTTCCAATCCAAACATGCACAGAGTTAGCAATGACAGGGACAGCTAATGACAAAAACAATGGGACATAATTTCAATGGGACTGCTTGCGTATTTAGTGTGAGCACAAATATCATCATCTACCAGCAATGTACTGTCAGGAGTGGAGCTAAGCAAACTACAGAAGAAAGATTTAAGTAGTGGGAGGGGCTTGGACACATCAGGTTTCTGTCATAGCAACTTCTTACAGGAGCAAACCTATTAAAAACACACCAGATGTAGAACAAGTCCGATCATTTAAAAGCTCCCCATTGCATTGTGAAAGTCCATTCAGAAAGGACGTGAGACGAATGTGAGGGTGGAGTAGGGTGACCAGATGTCCCGATTTTATAGGGACAGTCCCAATTTTTGAGACTTTTTCTTATATAGGCTCCCATTACCCCCCACCCCCGTCCTGATTTTTCACATTTGCTGTCTGGTCATCCTAGGGTGGAGAAGCAACTCAAGGAATGTAATGGGCTCAGTCCTACTCCCATTAACATCTGTTTGAATGTTGCCACTGACTTCAGTGGGAGGAGGATCTGCTGTTGTTTTCTAACGTGTTCCGTATTGAACAGAAGCAATGTTTTCTAAATGCACGTGGCAGACAAACTGGTTGTTTGATAACCACTTTAATACGGCCATGGGCTTGGACATCTCCGACAAAGGGCCCAGGGTCTTCATCAGCAAACCTGGGACTCCTTAGCTTTCCAAAGCATTTGATTTCTGCGATCCCATTAGTGCAGTTCTAGCAGCTCAAAGGGAAAGCGGAGGGAAAACTGTACAGTGATCAGCTCGGTTATCTTACATTTTTAATGCAGCCTAACCATTGCATGCCCCACTTAAAGGTATAGAGAGATGGGGAATGCAAATCACTATCGAGGGTCTTACAGTCACACCGAGTGGCCAAAGGGAATTAGGCACCTAAGTGACTTAGCAGCCTAAGTCCCATTGACTTTCAATATAAATGAGGAGAGACTGACTTTCACCCAGACCTAGGTGTAGAATGTCTAACTCCCATTGATTTCAATGTGAGCTAGGTGTCTAAATACCTTTAAGAATCTGGGCCCTAAGTCACTTGGGTGCTTTTGAATGTTTTACCCTTTGACCTTTCAGCTGGCAGGAGAGCACCTATCAATTATGGTATTTCTGTTCACGACAAAGACAAATTATTATGAGTCAGTTTTAATGTTGGAGATGTGGTAATAATATAATATATGGAGATATACCTATCTCAGAGAACTGGAAGGGACCCTGAAAGGTCATTTAGTCCAGCCCCCTGCCTTCACTAGCAGGACCAAGTACTGATTTTGCCCCAGATCCCTAAGTGGCCCCCTCAAGGACTGAGCTCACAATTCTAGTCAATTAGCAGGCCAATGCTCAAACCACTGAGCTATCCCTCCCCCCAGTCATCTGGCACTAACACTGCTTCCTTTCCTCCCTCTCACCACCACCATCTGTGCATTGTGACTGTGTGTACACAGCAACCCACTGCGGACACAACAGCTCTTGCCCTTTCATCAAAGCGAGTCCACTAACCAACTCAAGCTGGAAGTCTGTAGAGATAAGTAAAACCAATAGAAACTGCCTTGTTTTCCTTCCTTCAGCCATAATGGCCTTATCCGTGCGGGGCCATTACCTTGTTTCCCCAGCAAATGTGAAGCTCATTTTTTTGTTGGTCATTTGACTTTTATCAGGGCTGCCCATCGTAGCCCCAGACCAGCAGGTCACTGGTTTAGACAGGTTGCACCAGCTGAATAAAAATGCTTCTTAACTTTATCACACAATCAATCCAAACAACGTGCCATTATTTTTAGCATAAAAAAAAATACAGGGTGGTTTCTGGTCTCAGACAGTCTTGGGCTAAATCCTGCTATCGTTACACAACCCGTCTTCAGGCAAAATGCACATTGAGAGTGTGGGTGAGTTTATAAGGGCTGGGCAAGGACTGCAGGGTTTGCCTCCTGATTTGGTAATTTCACTGGTGGATGCAAGTTAGCAACAATGATATTGGCACACTCTTGTACGTGCCAGATGTGTGACTGTGAAATTCAGGGAGATGGTTGAATATGATGAACGCTCTGTATGCATTGCCTGACTAAATTAAACTCACTCCAGTGTTGCTCCCTGTCTGTAAAATGGGGATAATCTTTCTTCCTTTTTCCCACTGTTGGTCTGTCTTGTCTATTCAGGTGGCACGTTCTTTGGGGCTGGTTCTGTCTCTCGCTTTGAGTTGTTCAGTATCTAGTACAACGGGCCTTGATCTCAGTTGGGGTTTCTGGGTGCAGCTATAGTAATAAAAAAGGGAGAGGTTTGATGTTACATTGTGTTCACACTAGGTCTTGTAACCCTGTATGAAACCATTTTCAAGCACCTTTGTGGCTGCACAGTTTCTGTCCATACAGCACACAGTCACAAACTGTTCAGAAACAGTGCTTTGGACTTGCTCTGGGGGTAGGCAGGCTGCACCTCTCTGGGGCAGGGACTGTCTTTTTGTTCTGTGTTTGTACAGCGCCTGGCACAACAGGCTCCTGGTCTATGATTGGGGCTCCTAGGACAGCTATACAAATTATCATTTTACAATAATAATAGTAATTCATAACTACATGGCACCATTTCTGCTAGCATAGCTGGAACAAAAAATGTCCCTGCACATACGAGGTATTTAAACTGTACTACACCAGTGCTAGCTACAGACATGTTGGGAAACGATTCAGAACTGTCCTTGGCAACCCCTTTTTAATAGGATTGTAAGTAGCCCAGTTCAGATGCCAGTGTGGACAGGGCTGGAGAACAACAGGGAATGTGATGGGTGTACAAAAGGGCAGCAAAAGGGTTAACAGGAGCCTGAGGGCTCAGTTAGCGGCACCTGGAGGGTGTGGAGAACCAATTTATTACCAGGCCCAGCTGGGGAGGAGCTCAGAGCAGTGGGAGAGGGCTGGAAGGAAAGAAGCAAGCCTGGGGGGAGAGTAGGTCTTGGGATCCTGTCCTGAGATGGGTGTTTGGATAGTAGGCTGGGAGAGACATGGAGAAACCACAGGAGTGGGGTGAGCCCCTGCAGGGAGCCTTGATAAAAGGGCAGGAAGTGGCTCTCCGGGGGAAACCCTGGGAGGGGTTGCTTGCCACCAGAGCTGGAAAGGACGCTGCGGAGCCTAGAAAGGGGCTGGTGGGAAAGGCCTAGAGGCAGGCCAACGTAGGAAGTTCAGGGAAGCAGCAAAGGGTAGGAGGGAGCAGACCTTGGCTGCTAACTACAGAGTCCCTGGACTGGAACCTGCAGTAGAGGGAGGGCCCGGGTTTCCCTACTGCCCACCAAGGAAGGTGGCATGAAACAAGAGGTATGGACTCCTGGAAGCCCAGAGACCAGGGGTGTAAGGCTCCCTTGGCCCAGAGTCATGAGCTGAGGCCTGTCATAGGGGTATGGAACAGCTTCTGTATGGGGAGAGATTTAAAAAAAAAAAAGACGGGGTTTGCTCAGCTTAGAAAAGAGACGACTAAGGGGAGATATGATGGAGGTCTATAAAA